ACACACAAAATCATGGTGATCCAAAATCGTGGGGGGGACATTTGATATGATGTTTCCCCCTCTGAAAATTTGTGGGGGGGACATGTCCCCCTGTCTCCCCCTGGATTTGCGCCCCTGATTGCATTTAGAGTACCACAAGGCTCGATTTTGGGTCCTCTGTTATTTTTGATTTATGTTAATGACATGGCAAAGGCAGTTAACTTCAAGCTTTTATTATATGCTGACGATTCGGCCTTAATTTTTGTAGTTTCATGGACAGAGGTACAGGCTATACAGGAAGAGTTAAGTAGAGAATTGCATTCCATTAATAAATGGCTCAATGTCATTATGATAATAATTTATCCTTAATTGCATCTTGGAAAAACAGAAAGTATTATTTTTTAAACTAAACACAAACTCAGGGATAATCCAAAACTGCACATCAGATGTAATGGCGTGGCAATTGCACATAAAAATAGAGTTAAGTATCTATGAATAGACTTGGAAGACTCCATGAGTGGTGAGGTAACGGGAATTAAGGTTGTAAAAAAGGTTAACAATAGATTGAAATTTCTTTCCAGAAAAGCTAAGTATTTAAACACGGCATGTAAACGATTACTAGTTTTTGCCCGAATTCAATGTCATTTTGACTATGCAAGCAGTATATGGTACAGCAGTCTAACAACGCGCACAAGGGCTAAGCTGCAAGTGTGTCAAAATAAAGCCATTAGATGTGTTCTCAACCTAGGTACTAGAGCACACATAGGTGCTAGAGAGTTCAAGGCTGTAAATTGGGTACCTGTAGAGATCAGGGTAATGCAACTGAAGGTCAATAGACTCAATAGGGTTTTTAAAATATTACATAATCTCGGCCCACATTAGCCTATATGACAGAAGGTTTCATGTTAACGTCAGAAGTCCATAGTTTCAATACAAGGGAAGGTGAGATGTCTATTTTTTAAACCGAGGGTGGGAAGCAGTGGGAAAAACTCGTTTACTTATACTGCAATTGAAGCTTGGAACTCTCTACCACAGCAAGTTAGGACAAATTCTGTTTATTCTAGTTTTAAGTATTAGTGTAATATTAATATATAGTAATTTAATATATAGTGTTAAGAAATGTCTAATGGAAAAGGTAGAAACATTCGAGGCAGAGGAGTATGATTTTCGCTAAAAGAATTCGGTTGAAATTAGGCATAAGAAAAGTTTTATCGTCTTATGAGAATGTACCATTGTATGACCGGTTATAACTACAAATTTGTATATTTCAATAGTTAGTGCTGATAGTAGTGCTCATAGGGTCTATGTCCCCCAGGGTACGTTCCCGAAGTACCCTGGGGGGACATAGACCCTCTCAGTGATAGTAGCATAGAAATAGATAGATAACCATTATCTATAAACGTTATCTATAACGTTATCTATCTATTTCTATGGTTAGTAGTGTAATTGTTAGATTCAAGGCATAGCAAAACAAAGACCACAATGTAAATAAGTACGTGTGCGAGTCATGCTTTTTGTGTATATATAACTGGTAGTTATCCAATTTTATGAATTCAGAATTTTATTGTAAAAGTATGCTATGCATTGTATATGATGGATAATTGCCTAAATAAAAAAAAATAAAAAATAAACGACAATGCTGACGATAGCCAATATTGCAAAAATTATATATTTTTCAATCAGCAATTGCATACGCCAATTGTTTAATTAAATTAAGCGCAAGGCATTTAATTATTTTCTAATTCTCATTATATTGGACTCGTAATAAAATAATGTGTGTGATTGATGTCTGCGCAGTTGTGCTCACTTGTTTGGGAGGCCACCATTGTTCGTGAATTGTCAGGTATGTCTGATTTCCATCCTTTTCAGCAGATTTCTTTAGTATATAACTACATATAATGTTGTCGCTATATCATACTTTGAATTCACGTATGTGTAGGTGCTATACGTCTAATTATATGTAGATGAATTGGCGTAAATTCTATTGAAATTAGTGTAAGAATTTGCCATGTCATGACTCATGTGAAATTTCGGCGTAATGGCGCATGAACAAAAGCCAAATAGGAATGTCACGCGGTGTGTCAATGTGTGGTTGCGCGGTGGTCAAGGTAGGTACGTTGCGCTAAATTTATTTGCTTATTACTTCATATGTTGTTAATTCTATGTTCATAGTTCTTTTTTACGTGTTTGCAGGTACATCCTAGCGTAATTCTAAAGTCGGTATGTCTGGAACGAGAGTTTATGTAGGCGGATTAAGTTACCAAGCCAGGGAACGTGACATAGAACGATTTTTCAAAGGATATGGACGGATTCGTGAAATAATGCTTAAGAATGGCTTTGGATTTGTTGTAAGTATCTGTAGAAATAGTTTATTACGATATTTAGAGTTATATATACGAATGTTATTAGCCCATATAAATAATTATTGTTTACCTTAATGTGGATTACAAATGTTTTTATATATGTATAGATCTTGTACAGAATATGGTGACGTTTTTTTGTATATATTTTTTCTTCATGTTGTATAGCACTGTCAGAGCTTCGGCTGGCCCCCAAAAAAATTGTTGGGCCACCAGAAATTTATTTCTTCTGGCCCAAAATGAAAAGTTGTAGCCCAATTTTCCATTGGTATTTCTACCATGACGTACAACGGTACATGACTTTAGGCCCTACAAACTTGTCACATTGGACACAAAGCCACATTTGCATGCAGGGTTCGAATTTTGGCTGAAAATCTAGTGGACAGCAGGACCACCAACTTCAGAAAGTCGGTGGTCCTGCACAAAAGTTGGTGGTCCTCTTATTTACTACTACTAGCAAGTGAGTAACAAAATGGAATATAAAAATAACCATTGGCATTTATTAACAGCATACATGTAACATAGAGTTGGTAAAATAAAATATTTCAAGCTCTAAGAATGTCGGGGGAGCTTCTGGGAAAGGTTTTACTTTCGTTTTTCTCCTCCCCAGTCCTGGGTACCCCCATGCATAGATCAATGCTGCCGCACATCCGCAAAGTTACAAGTGCCTAGAATCTTGAAGTATATACAGTTTACATTGCTTCTAGATATTAATTGAATTAAAATAGTCCACTTTCTACGTAAAGAAAAGTGACGAATTAAATTAACAGCTTTGATTATGTGCGTGTCAGGTGTCACTGGTCGTGCCCTCACTCCCCACGATAACCCCTGCGACATATGAACTTATTGTTATGCGGTCATAAAAACACTGGGCTACGCTACATGCTGCAATCGATTTCTTAGACTGTCACGAGGTTTTGTTCGTGTGGCGAATCATGATTGGAGGATGTTTTGGATACCCCGTCTACGTTCAGGAACGGAGCGTATTAGGATGCGCTCTCATTTACAAGTCTAAACTGCTGTTGCGATAACCGTAGTATTTCAGCATAATATGAGGGGGAAAAGCCAGGAGGCCCGGCAGTTTCGTAGAGGTGGTGGCCGAAGCAAAAACTATTATTGCGAGAATTTTCCAGTGTTTTCACCACTTTCATGACACCTACCGTTATTGCTTGAGTAACAGCAACTGTCTAGAGTAACAATAAAATGTCTTAGAACCTTCGTATTCACCAAAAACTGCCAGTTTCGAACTACTGGTTTCGAACTAGTTTCGTAAACATTCGTTTTCTGTTATCTTGAACTAGGCGGAAGTGTGGATTAGCTTGTGGCGCCACCGCTTATCTGCCATAGACAAAGCATGGCTCTCTCAAATCATGCACTTGTTTTCAATTAATCACCGACACAAATACAAGTTTGCCAATTCTGCCATTAGGCATTGTCGCGACACGATAAAATGCATTGCTGTTACAATGTGTTCATATCCAATTTTCTATGATATAACTGCATAAAATCTTAGTATTTTTAATGTTTGTGTGATCAGTGATATTTTCGCTGGCAGGTGAGACTATATTCAGCTATATCAGGGTTCTCCAAGCTTTTAAATTATAGCATGGGGATAGTACTGAGTGCTAGGGGGTCCGGGGGCATGCCCCCCCCCCGGAAAATTTTAGAATTGTAGAAGCTCTGAGATGCAATCTGGGACACTCTGTGTGTAAATTTGAAGCACTGCATGTGGGGTGAAAATGGTTTGTTTTGCATGGGCAAAGCCATCGGAAAATTCAAAATAATTAATGGAATAAAAATACCAAAATGTAGGTGTGAACTTGCGAGTTCACCTCTCATAAATAAATAAAAAAAATTTTGTCACCATTGACAATGACAGTCCTGAGTGGTCGGTAAGTGTACCAGTCTACTCTACCTCGTGTTACTAGTTAGACTGGGTTACCTGCCCCGTAATAATGCCGTTGGAAATTAATTCACGATTAAGATTTCTTGATGAGCTAGAAAACACTCGGATTTGAAGTGTGTTTGTACTTGTGTGGGGTACTGCCGTACCCGTAGCATCGAGACCAACGTGTATTAATTAATTGTTTGAACTTCTCATGTATACACCAGCATGGCGGCTATGATATTTAGCGTGACGGGTGCATTTTAGGATGGCGGGTCTCGACGATAGCCTGGCGGGCCGCCATGCTATAAGTGCCCTTGGAGAACCCTGTATATTTAGTTTTTCTTAGAAAAAATCTCGCAATAGTCATTTTAAATCAGCATTATCTCCCTTTACATAAGAAAGCCGTGTCCGCCGAGACTGTGTTGACGATTTTCAGGTAAATTGGTGGTGTCATATGATTAAGGTAGAATCATAGACGAAAACAAGGTAAAGTTTGAATATATTTATTCACATATTGATAGAATATTTACAAGTTGAAAACTATGCAAAACGGTGTCATACTCTTCTCCTATTATGTACTCTTGCTTTTATTTATGTTGGGTGCCTAAATTCAAATGTCAGTTTTTCCCTAATTTTACATTATATCAGCTAGATGAGTGAATTTGGTTTACATTGGAAGGAATGACAAAATTTGAAGTAAAATAACATTCTAATGATCTGCCAGAAAATGTGAAGATGTATTTTTATGGATTTTATTTAATTAAAGCAGACAAAACATTTAATTGTCTCATTACACTAGTGGTATTAGTGGTATTTTAAAATTATATAAATGATGCAGTTGTTCATAGTGTTGCTTGAACCATCTGTCCAAAATATTATCTATTCATCACGTTGTATAAACCAAAGTAGTTCAGGGTTTCTTCTGAGGGAAAATTAGACAACGGCGGTAATGGCCAGTTTGGGGAAAAAACGTGCATGATGGATTCAGAGGCGTGCAGTAGGTACGAATATGGATTCTGCGGGCAGACGCTGTGGGGGGGGGGGGTTCTGGGGGTCTCCCCAGCAAAATTTTAAAAATTTGAATGTCTCAGACAGTTCAAATTTTAGTTTAAATCTTACTCTGTTAGCAGACCTACCAAGTCTCACGCATTTCGCGGGAGACTCACGCATCTGGACCCACTCCCGCATGCCCTACGCATTCTCACGCATTCACGCAAAAGAAAAAACGCAGCCCGTGACACCCCTGTTACATACGTCTGCGGCTGTGCACATCGTGGCTCGTGCTTGCTGGCTGGGGCAGCATTGATTGAAGTATGGGGGGGGGCGAATGCTGATTGTTACAGTCGCGTGGGCATGCTTATTGCTGTATATGTAGGGGTGGGCACCGCTGGTATGAGGGAGCAACAGCAAAACTTTCCCGGAATCGAGGAAAAAGCTGCAATCGGGAATGACACAGGAGTGTGCCGGCACGCAAAAAGAAACGTTGCTGTGAATTTCACAAAGATTTTCCATGTATATAGTCAGAAGCACGTGGTGATCTATTTATTTGTGGATTGACACTATTTTGACAACGGCGGGTAAATACAGGAACATTTTCACAACGGCATTGTTAAATTTGACAACGGCGGTGCGCCGCAGTGCCTCTTATGTAGAAGAAACCCTGTAGTTTATGTAATATTTTATTCCATTTGACAGGAATTTGAGGACCATCGTGATGCAGACGATGCTGTGTATGAATTGAATGGTAAAGAGCTTTGTGGAGAAAGGTAATGCATTTTATATAATTAAAATAAATATTAAATAACAACTTCATTTTGTCTGTTTGGTAGACATCAATGTACATTATAGTTTTAATAGCTACATGCAGGGCATAAAATTCCGATTTTTGCACCGGCCCAGAAGACTGGCTGGTAACAGCAGTTTTTTACCAGCCCTCACCATAATTTACCAGCCCTCACAAACTTTGTTGTTTTTCAAAAATAAAGACAAGACTGCTTCACTTCAACAAACAATTCATTCGAAACATTTTTTTGCAACAAAAATTCTAGTAGTATGCGGCATCGCATAGTAGCTGTTGAACAGACTATAATGCAGATTGTGAATGATGTTCGAAGTGTTTTTATCAATGTCATGATTCACGCTTGCGTTCTCGATTTCAAATATGTAAAATGTTGATAAATTATGGCGTGATATCCTTCAGGTAAAACAGTAATGTAGGCTATTTGCTCATTCATGCTATAAGTATAAGCAGAAATGTAGGTACTCGCTGAAACCAAACCACCGGCTCGGAGGGCCGGTGTTTTGCCAATGTTACTGGCCCTCCGAATAATTTCGGGATAGTTCGGGATTCGTCTTCTTGGATATTGACACTAAAATGGTGCGCTATTATGCATTCTGAGCATGAAGATTCAGAGCAAATCTTTTGAGGAAAGAACCGCAAGTCTTTTTTGAAAACGGTACAAAGTCTATGAAAATACACGATGTCACTTCAGTAGGGCGACAGAGTCAGGTGGTGCCCGATGAAACGTGCACGACGAGTGGCCAATACAAATATTTATTTAGGGGACTCCGTACTATACCTTAGTGACAAGAAGTAAAAAAGAAGTACTTCAACAATTTCCACATTTGTTTTTATTACACCATTAATTAGAGTAGTTATTCAATCAATTGCTTGAAAACAGTTTCCATGTCATTGTCAGAGTCCATTCAGTCCCCATTGTCAATTCCTGTTTCGTCATCATCAGCCGTCATCATCGTGTCTGTTTGAGCCCCTGGTCTCTATCATCAGTGCCATTATTCTCAACAATTTCCAATGCGTTTTCCAGCATTGTATCTTTATTTTTTAAAGTCGGTCTCCTTGACCTATACCTGACACCCTGCTCAACATTCAGCAGCCGGATATCCGCGCGAAGCGCGCCAAGCGCGCGGCCGACTAGCGGCAGCTCTAACACGTCTTTTGCTGCCCGCGCTCCCTTTTCACCTTACACGGTTTACAATATTAACGCAAGCACCACTTCGCTGAATTGGAGCAAGTTCTGGCCATTCGAACGTATACGGTTTGACTAACCAGGGATGCTCGGACATTGTCTTAGAAATGCTCTACCAATTCGAAGTTCGTTATTCGCGCGCCCTTTCTTTGCGTAATAAATGAATTTCTAGTTTTTCTCTTGTTTTGTTGTTGTGATGAGGCTAATACATATGTTTTTGCCGACACGACGGCGCGCAACGAACGCCGAATCTAAAGAGGCCATATTAGACTGCCGTACCTTTGCCACCTTACTGCGGCGCATATCGCTACTCACGCTTATGTGTAGCGGTACTGAGCACCTGCTCGAAACTGTCGCGACTCTATTGAACCAGATCCTATTGTGTATTCTCTTCATTGATGTTGTTTGTGCACGCCAGCACAAGCTATGTTGTAGTACTACTAGCTAGCTATTAGATTTCGCCGTGTTTTACTTTCAGCCCATATATATATATCGTATTGAAACTTTCTATTACGTGCTTGTGCACATGCCGGTCGGCGTCATGGTTAGGGTATCATAACCGCTCTACTTGTGTGTTGCACATGAGGATTTGACCGGCGCCATTTAGCAGCGTGATTAATCTACAGCCCGAACAATAGATGTCAGAGAACTACGTTAATGACTAGTGCAGTGGTATTACATTCCACACCTACGAATACTATGACTTCTATTTACTACAAGTAACATCAATGTTCAACCAATAATTACTACTAGTACTACTACTATACTAGTAGTTAGTAGTACTCTCTAAGCTTTACCCAGCAGCCTACTCAGTACTAGTACAGTAACTACCAGGCACGGCAGGATGCTAATTAGTAATCAGTAATACGACTACACATCTGTCTACTTAGTAGCTAGTACTACCGTAATTAATTACTCCAGTCAAATGACGAAGACCCTAAACCATAACCCCATAACCTATTATATTGATATAATATTATATTTTATTTGGATCGTTACAATACATTGGTTTTATTGCCCATGTCATAGCATTCGGCCCCATAGTAATATTGGGGACCGATGTTCTCTATCCTTGAAACACTAAGTCACTCACTAGACTACTACGACTAGTGACTACTACTACTAGTTACTATACGTATAAGGTACTACTAATACTACTAGCTCCAAGAAACGGTCTTTCTAGGGTTAGAATTACCGCTATATACATAACACACGGCACTTGAAAGCCGTTTCAATATAATACTAATTGCGTAACTAAATTACGAAATCTATTTACTACCAAATTCTTGAATGTTGTCTAGATGACTAGCCTACTCTCTTTCGAGAGAGGTTGGAGTACAAAGCTATATATAGACTAGGGACTCGCTCCCATCTCGATTAGCCAGTTAGTGAGGACTAAGCTAAGCGAGAAGGTGGGAGAGAGTGCCAGTCTATGGGCTATAGGCGGCGGGCAGTCGGCGCACTGGGCTTGTACAACTGCCAGTACGAAGCCTGCGCCATTGAACCTTGGCCAAAAACGTTGCAGCGTTGGGGCCGCCCGGACGAGACAGCAGCGCGCGGTGGCTGTCTCTCTCTGATTCGACAGCCGTTTCCATTATGGCAAGGTTCCGGCAGAATGTCAGAATTTCGACAGTCTTTCTGTGATTCTCGCGTGACACAGCTCGTTACGAACGCGCCGGACCGCGGGTGCCAAGATTACTCAGGTTACAGGATTTTATAATCAGGTGAACAGCTGTCACGTTCGCAAATGTCTGCCCTCTGGGTGTCCCCGCACTTAAAATTGCGGGACATGTTCGCTGGCAGCGTATGGATTCGTGGCGCTGGCGGCATATGCATTCGGCGCATCGGAATCCATAGCTGCCAGGCGCTGCATACTGTCGTAGGACGTTCCCACCACGCGGTCGCGTGCGCCTTGCCGCGGAAACGCGGCGCAGCAGCCTCTCGCATTAAAACACCTCTTTGGCGGCAACAAGCTTCTCTAGGTATCGCCATTCAATCTGGTTCCATAAATTTTATTGCTGCACCACTGGATCAAATTCCTGTGATTGGCGGGGACAGAGCATTTTGATGGGCATTTTATTAAATATTTAACTTTTTTTTCACAATATATTCTTATCGTTAGTAATTGATCGACAATTTTTTATTAGATTGCATTGGAGTGTAACTTACCTAGATACAATAATGATACCAACAAGAGTAGGCGTGCACCTTGTGTGGTACATTATGTATCTAAGTTACAACATGTTTACAACGCCACGTTCCTTCCTAATGGATCAGTGAGGCAATGTCCAGATGGCAGAGCAGCGTAAATATTATGGGGCATTGGTGGCATTGGATTTATATTGCTCTGGTCAGATACCCAACACCGCATATACAACACATGCTCTGCACCTGCCGATGTTCCGCCAGCCCTGAACGGCCCGAAAAGCCGAGTACCCGACGTAGACAAAGAAGACCATAGGGCAAGGCTAGAAAAACGATCGTGCGAAGCAGAAAGAACGCGCCGACAGCAATGAGAGCCCGCGTTTAGGTTACACCAGGGAATGCACATGACAAAATGGCCGCCCGATGAACGTGTATCAACCAGCTGATGCTCTAATTATTAGGCTCATCTGACGTAGTCAGGTGGCTTGCTTGAGATCGGCATGATTGTCCGTCCGGCCGTCCGTCGCGTCCGTTCTGTTCGCCACCAGTTTGGGCACAAATCTTTAACCGCTACACGACGTCACGGTTCACAGGATATACGGGACGTGTTGGGGGAGGGGAATCGCGAAGAACAGAGTTTAGGTATGTCGTAAGAGGCTGGGGTCACAGGTCAAGAGGTTGTAAAACGAAGGGGAAGCATTCCCTCTTAACTTAAGGTATAGGGAGGAAAATGGGCAGAAATTGCGGCAGCAAATCTACAACAGCTCGACCTATCGATGATCTGCACGTTGACCTATCAACCGTGAGTCTGGCACCCGTCTGAACGTACCCCAGGGGACGGATACGCACCTGGCGATATATAAATTTGCGCCAGGTATATCAATTACACATAGCAGGGTGTGACACACAATAGGAGAATAATGCGCATAAAATTACAAACTTTACTGACCCTAAATAGTAATACACTGCAATAGTGAACATAAGAGGTCTGCAAGTGAGTAGCGGGCCACCTCGGTGGTCTTACCTGCTTGGACCAGTGTCGCAGTGTTGGTGTACACGTAGGTCTCGTACAGTAGATAACAATAAGTGCTAACCCGCAACAAGAGTACCTAATACACGCCGTACTCCTGTGAAACAGGTCTACGTCTAAATCGTGATGGAGGTCGGTGAACGTTAGCTCCCAGTTTCTCAGTATGCCATTTATCTCGAATAAGGAACTAGTAGAGCTAGGCAAATGCAGCTTACCAGTTCCCAGTTCCCAATTCCTTATTTGAATAAGGAGCTAGTAAAAACTAGGCAAAGACAGTTATCCGAGTTCCGCAGTTCCCACGTTCCTTATTCGAACTAAGGAACTAGTAACTAGGCAAAGGCAGTTACCAGTTTCCCAGTTCGAAAATTGCAAGGCATTGAATTGGGACTGGTAACTAGGCAAAATAGGTTACTAGTCTATCTTATTCGGCCCCAAAATTAACCCTTTGGCACAGCATTTATTTGAACTGGTAACGCAATAAGGTAGCCTGGTATGCCCGCCCGAACTGGTAACTGGTTAAATAAATGTGTGCCAAAGGTTCATTTGGCCGAATAAAAGGTAACTAAATAACTATTTTGCCTAGTTACCAGCTCGTCGCCAATTC